GCCAGCCACAACAGTGTGAATTCCTCAGGGAGGTGCCAGTCTCATCCTCTTGTGGTTCCCACGCTCCTGCGGCGAGCTAAGAAAATGCTCGTCTCCCTGAGCCTGGCCTTCATAATTCCATTCCATCACATCACCACGGGCTACAGTGTGCCAGCAGAAATCCTGTTATGTTCTATCATCTTCATTGCACATGAACCAATGTGATTTAGTGGTTAAAGTGTTGGACCAGGAGCAGGGAGACCCAAGTTCTAGTTCCCCGCAGCTATGGAGGCTCACTTTGTGCTTTTGAGCCAGCCATTCTCTCTCATTCCAATCTATCTCATAAGATGGTTGTTGTGGAGAAAATAAAAGAGAAGGAAGCACTCTATTCTACCTGTGAGCTCCTGAATGAAACATGGGATATAAAACCGATTGTGTTACTCTTCGACAATTTCCCTCTTCCCTAATAGCAGGATTTCTACACTTCTATTTGCTGCATGCCACAAAGGTACAGTTACAACGTGCTGGGGGGAAGTATGTATGTATTCGTTTGTTCGTTTGTTTGTTTAATTTCCCCTCCCCAGGAAGCAGGAAGAGCTGGTTCAGCAAGTGAGGAAGAGGCTAGAGGAAGCATTGATGGCTGACATGCTTGCTCACGTGGAAGAGATAGCAAGGGATGGTGAGACCCCTGTAGTAAAGGGTAATGAAGAGGAGGAGGAGGAGGAAGAGGAGGAAGATGGTGATCATGGACAGGAGATGGAGAATGTATAGTCCAGGTAGCACAGTTCAATACTAATACCTTGTCCCCATCTCCCACATGTTTGTAGTGCCATAAGTTCATGTTTTTTCCAACCCTTGAAGAATTCCAGGGTTTCAAAGCTACTTTATTCTGTATTTCTTTATATTTATCATCAAGCTCAGTGTTGTTGATGATAATGATAGCATTTTCAAGGTTTTAAGCAAATACTATTCCAATCATTTGTTCCATTTCCATTTTAACTAGGAGTGAAGGGAATTAAAGTGGGGGTTCGATGGTATTCCTGGTATGTTCTTGGTCCTAAGGCCAAGTCGGCTTGGCCCATTCTTTGAATGGTGTGGGTACATTTTGGAACTCTCCTGAGTGTTGAGCAGCAAGTGCAAATGGATTTTCAGAATAAGAAGAGATGTCTTGAACGTAGAGATTATTTTGCAACCTACCCATCCCCATAGTCACAGGCAGTTGTATTCTTGACCTTGCTGCATGCATACAGCGCCATGGAATAGAGAGAGCTTCCTCACCACTATTCTTTCTCCCACCTCGGCTACCTTTTTGAGCTGTTACCTTACATGCATTATAGCTGATCAAGTGTCTCTTTTCCTTCAGGGTGTTTCTCTCAAGAACTAGCCTGCACTCGATCCACACAGAGGCAAGTGCATCTTCAGAATGTTGTGCACTAACTGTACCTGCGTGTGTGAACATGTTTGGCCTCGGTTCACAAGAAGCTGAAGGGACCAGTCAGACTCTCTGTAGTTTGAAGAAGGACTTACTGAACCCAGTTTTTTTTTTCCTCTGCCCCCCTCATTTTTTTCCTAAAAGTATCACAGGGCAATAGAGGAATCAGAAAGGGTATTCAAGAATTGTGAACATAATCCCTTCATCTTATTCCCAGACTAGCAACTGAAACAGGTTTCCCAAGTCTCTTTCTGATAGTGTCTGCACATGCCCTAAACCAATTATCTCTTGGCTTAACCCGCAGAGATGACATGAAGAACTTCTTTTAAATTTTCTCTGCCTATTTGAAGTCACGTATAACAAAATATATTTGGTGGTATAGCTAATCCATCCCACTTGCAAAATCTTGCTGTGGGATCTTCATTTTCTTATCTGGTTTTTGAATTCGGGTTAATTTGATTTGCTTTTTAAAAAAAAATCCCACCAATAGAAGGTGCCTTCTCATGTGGGGCTGGGAAACAGCCCCTGGAGCTATTATAGATCCAAGCTTTGATCAAAATTCCCTTCTTCTAAATGAATATAACATGACAAAGAACTATAATTCATGCAGAGCTTTATGAGCACAAATCATTGTAGAAAGAATATTGAATGGTGACAATAATTACCAGTCAGAGAAAATGTAACCAAAAGGTGCTGTATGAGGTTTTTACACCTATTGAAAGAAGGGATTTCTTAGTGCTATTGACCTCCTCTTGTTTGTTTTATAATTGATATGGTTACTGGGGGAAGGGTTGCCTTTGTCTCATATAATTAAATGCTTTTCAGAAGTAGTAGTATTAGATTGCTAACATAGTTGAGGAGAAGCGAGCAAACCAAGCCAGTTGTAAATGACACAGAATTTGCCTTAATGTGTTCAGCCTCAGCTGGGAATGGGTTATCATGAATATTAGAGCATAGAAACACAAACAAGACCACCTTTGCCTCTTGCTTGCTTACATATGCATACTGTCTCTGAATAACTGTCATCAGCAAGACATTAAATCTTCAGTAATGGATTTTAAATTTACTTACTTTAAATTTACTAAAATTCATTCAGCAGAGTTTCAGGATTAGATGAGAGTGCTACATCTCTTTTAAAAAAAAAAAAACAACCAGGGCTGATGGAAACCCCGTCATAAATTCCTGGTTAGATTTTATGTATTTTGGAAATGTGGGGTGTATGTAATCCCCAGAGTTAGACATGTGATCTTGGAGCCTGTAACTGGGGCCTAAAACAGCTCTTCTCATTTTGGACTTTATAAAAGAAATGCAGGATTTTGGTCCAGTAGTCTTTATTTAATTATTTTCAGATTTTTGAGTATTTGGTTGAAATCCATCATGTATATCTCTCTTCTGCTCTTGCATGCACATAAGAGTTAGTCCCTGCTTGGTTACTTTTCTTTGTTTATTTGCAGCAATTTCTCAGCATATAATTCCTAGTAAATATCACAAATGATTCCTTTAAGCTTTTTATGTTGCAGAATCATGTTGCAAGCTTAAGTCATGTTGGGATGAAACTGCAACTAACGCGCAAATGTGTTAAAGCCCTGTTGAAAAGGAAACAGAGTCTGGCTCTCTTCACAGCATCCTCAAGCCAGCTTGATGCATTTCTTTCCTTTTTAGAAGAAACAAATGATTTGATAGTGTGGTGTTCAGTCAATTTTTAGAAAATTCTTTAATCCTTTGTCTTTCAAATACACACTCATCACCACTGTCGCCACCTTACCACTAATATGTACCTTAACTGTAACAGTATCTTAATGTACAGTCTTGTTGGGGAATATTAGTTTTGTAATAAAATGTTTTTCATACATTTAATGCTTGTTGAGAAAATGCAGTGAAATATGGATAGCGTGTCTTCTCAAATAATGTTACTCCCAATTATAGAGCTGGAAAAGAGGTGAGGAAAAAGAATTGTATTATATAGCAGTCATCCAATGAAAGAGAGAGATTCAAAGCAGGTAGAAGAATGCTATAGGGGATCAAGAATGCCTTGCTGAAAGATGGGTAATGATGGTCACTAGATCAGATGATGGATTGCAGGTCTAGTATTTGTGTCTTTATGAGCAAAGGCAGCCCACTGAATAGTTGCATGGAAGCAGCAGGGGATGAAAGTTCTGGTTTTCATTCCCTGCTTTGGAGTATTTTAGAGCCCCTTTTAATGTGAGTAAAAAGACCGTGGAGAGCCAGTTGGGTGTAGTGGCAAAGGCACCAGGCTAGAAACCAGGAGAGCGTGAGTTTTAGTCCTACCTTGGGCACAAAGCCAATTGGGCCACCTTGGGCCAGTCCCTCTTCCAGCCCTAGGAAGTAGAAGGCAAGGGCAAACTGCTTTCAAAAACGTGCCAAGAAAACTGCAGGGACTGGTCCAGACAGTCACCAGGAGTCAATACTCAAAAAAAGCATAACTAATGTGTAAAATTACACAAGTTAACTGGTGGAAATAGCTTCATAGTCCACTGAAGAAACTCTGGAATGGTGGCCAATGGCTTCTATTCAGGCAGGACGGAGACCAGCTGTGATGGATATATAATTCCAGGATCAACAAACCTATTAATGTTATTTGCAGGGCAACCTGAGTTTGGGGAAGCCGTTGTACCATGTTCTGTTCATAGGTTTCTCATAGTCAGATAGCTGGGAAATAATAGGTGGCTGGCCTGATTCAGCATCACTGTTGTGCAAGAAGAGCAGCCATTTATGAGAACTGTTGTGAGCCGCAATGTTGAAGTTGCATCTCTTGTCCAATGAAAAAGTAGGAGAGCAGGGGCGGGAGATAAAACTTCTAAAAGGGATGCTTCCCTATCCTGTAAAAATAGAAATGCAAACTTTGTAGTTGCAGCCCTCTGTATTGCGCACAAAAAGCATGCTTTCCAACTCAAGCATGTCACCAGCCAGTTAGATCAGAGAGACAAAGGGACATGTGGCGTGGGTTTTCCAGTTTGAATTCAGATTACAAATAGCTCCCTATGAAATCACACCAAAAATATTCATTAAAAAAAGGACAAGATGCTTATCCGTAAAGAACATCAAAATTACTTGAAGATTCCTCTGCATTCAGTGGAAGTTAGCATATGCATAAAAATAAGAAAATCCAATGTTTCTCAGCCTTCTCAGGTTCAAAGCATTTCCTTGGCTTATGTAAAAGGAGGGGGGCGCTCTTCATTGCTGGCACATTCTGCCTGTTGAAAGGGCCTAAAGGACCAAATCCTGGTAACATTCATTGGTGGGTCTACATCAACATTCCTTGATGATTGGAGCAGTGCCACCTTGCCTACCAAGTTTTATGGAGCTATTATCACAAAGTGGAAAATCAGAATTGCTTTTCAGTATCAAGTATTTAGGGGAGGGGGATCCATCATATAACAAGCCAATAGCACTTTATCCATCTGAAGTTTTCCTTGGCACAGACCTAAGTGACCACCGTACACACAACTCCAGTCTTCTGAATAGCAGTGGGCAGATTAAGACTTCCATTGGGTGTTGCAGGAAGCAAGAGTTATATCTCATCCCAAAGTCTACAAGTGGCTTAGTTCATGCATGATGTTAATACCTCATTTATTAAGTTGCAACTGGCTGGATCAAGATCCCCTGTTGTAAAAATTCCAGTGGCTGGGTTCGTATACCGCTGAGCTACATACAAAAGTGTAAGATGTGTTAAACCCTCCTGGTTGCTTAATATAAATGCATGTGCCAGATCCTCCTTCCTTTCCTACATGGTTCCCAAGATACAATCTTGGCTTTTCTAGAATAAGTACCTGAATCCAGAGCACCTAATACTTTCTATTTACTCAAGTGGGCATGGCAGCTGTTCCCATTCTGGATGATACATTTAATCTTTTAAAAGCTCCCAATACTAGTGAAGTATATAATAAGGAGGCAGCTGTCAGGCCTAGCCCAAGGAATTCCAGGAGACCATGCAGATTC